AAAAAATGGAAAATGAGAAATTACAAGACATGATATAGTGAGAAGGTCTAGCATACAACTAAGAGTTCCAGAGGAAGCCAACAGAAAGAATAAGGAAGAGTCAATATTCAAATAGAATGTGAGAACACTAATTCTCATATTCAAAACTCTAAAACTCAGATCAGATTTTTTTTAAAATGAAGACCTAGACACACCTAGTGAAAGAGCAAACCCTAAGAACGAGAGATCTTAAAAACAGCAAGAGGAAAAAGACATAATTTCTACACAAAAGAATGTCAGTAAGACTGACTGCAGGCTTCTCGACAGCAACAATGGAAGCCCAGGTAAAATGTGCTAAACTGATGAAAGAAAGTAACTGTCAATGCAGAACTCTAAATCCAGTCAGACTAGCTTTTGAGAACCAAGGTGAAAAAACATCAATCAACACTGAAAGAATTACTACCAACAAACCCTCACTAAAGGAATTCCTATAATAGGAGTAGGAAAAAATGGTATCAGAAGGAAAATTTGAGATCCAATAAGAAAGACCTCTCTGCCTCATTGGATTCTTCATAGTATATCATCTTCATTTTACATCAATCAAAACTCCAGATATAGAAGGAAAGCCAACCTATCTATAGAGAAAAAGAGGACACTCACACAACCATCTGTACTAGAATGAAATAAGCTCTTCTCCTGACAGACCTGGAATTGTACCTGCCACTACTTTGGCAGCACCTGAGAAAACTGAAGTACTGATAAAAGCAGAGAGTGCAGAGATGGGGACAAAGAATAAAATTGGGACAGGCCAGGAAGAGAATAAGAGAGCTGATCCTGGAAACAGAATCAAAACAAAGTCTGGCAGAGCAAGGTTATATATCCTTCTCCCACGGTGGATGAAATTTCACAAATCAGGAATAGACTATATTTTAAAATATCTCTGGGAAGTTAAACCCTGGATACAGAATCAAAACAAAGTCTGGCAGAGCAAGGTTATATATCCTTCTCCCATGGTGGATGAAATTTCACAAATCAGGAATAGACTATATTTTAAAATATCTCTGGGAAGTTAAAGGGTTATAATTCTCTTATATATTAACATAAATTACCTTTCTACATTTGCCTGTTCTATGTGGCTTTAGAGAACTCAACTAGGACCAAGTGAAAAAAATTACAGAAAAATGTATTTTGGCTCAACAGAATAAAGAACATTATAAGAATCATATAGTTATACAGCGGTGAATGGACTATTCTCTAATATAGTGTGCTCTCTGCACTGAAAATTCCAAGGGCGTTAAATCTTTAAATAAATGACTAAATATTCAAGGTCTTTTCAAGTCACGGGAGGTCCATGAATTTCTTTCCCATGCATAAGCAAACACAGTCATGCCCCCATATGTCCTTTCAGTCAATGATTGACAAATCACATATACACCAGTGACTACACCATACAGCCTACTACACACCCAGGCTGTAGCATTTAGGTTTCGTACAGACACTGTATGAAGTTCACACAATGACAAAATTGCTTAATGACACATTTCTCAGAACAATCACACCTGTCATTAAGCAATGCACAACTGTATATGTTCTGTTTCCTGGTGTCTTCCATATTCTAAACATCTATTCAAGAAAATTTCTCCTTGGTCTCTCCTGTTCTTCCTTTTTCTTCTACATGTGAACCCAAAAAAGATTCTAAAGATACTTAGGGTCTAAAGGAATGTTTCTTAATATGTGTTCATGGATCTCCTGCAATAGAAACCCCAAGAACTTACTGAAAATGCAAAATCTGAACCCACTATGGACCTATTGATTCAGAACCTGAGGAGTTGAGAAGAAATCTGCATTTTTAACAACCTCCCCAGGGTGATTCTTAGACACCTTAAAATTGAGAACTCCCCTCTAAGACCACAAAGCTTACAGCTTCTACAAACCACTGTTGCATTCTTTCACCTAAAGAAACTGCCAAAAGAATCCTTAAACTTTTTGTAGCTTTCACTCATTTTAACAGTCTTTGATTCAGCATACAAGAACTGACTGTGGCTATGTTTAACACAGATTCCCTTGTTTTTAAGCACAGTGAAAATTATACATACTAACCTAAGAATCAGAAGAAACAGAAATAATTTTATTAGAATAAATAACTATTTTAAAACAAGGCTTTTAGGGATTAGAATAACTTTGGTGGGGGATAAGATTCATAATAGGAGGAAAGAAGGGATACACCAGGATGAGAGCTCACAAGTAGATAAAAAAACATAAATGAACACAAGCATGGCCATAAACATTTACATACATTCATCAAACATTCACTGATCAACTACAATGTGCCAGAAAGTTATGGGAATTTGGGATTCATTCATGAACAAAACAGGCAAACATTCCTACTCTCATGGAACTTATATTCTAGGAATAGAAGAAAATAAACAGTAAACATAACAAATACATTATAGAGTTTCTTAGATGGCGATAAATTTTACAGAACAACAACAACAAAAAGAAGTAAAGGGGTCACAAGTACTGGTTGAGTGGGGATAATTGTACTGATGTGGTTAGGAATGGCAATATTTAAGCAAAGACTTGAAGGAGGTGAAAAAGAATGACTTGCAGAAATCTGGATGAAGACCACTTTAAGCAGAGGAAAGAGCTGGTACAAAATAAGGATAACACTCAGTACACACAAGGAAGACTAGTGTGTTGGACAAGAATACACAAAGACTGAGGAGACAAAGAATAGATATTAGGGACCAGTTACAGAGTATTTTACTCTGAAAAATATTAAAAGCTAGTAAAGGGAACTTTCAGTTTCTTGTTCTGCATGTACGGTGTTTGGAATTTGCCATCCCATACTAACAACAAGTAAAAAGATGAACAAACTGAAAAATCAACAACTCTTCTTGGATACTTAATAGAGGTGAGGACATAGGGCAAACCACTGCCCCAAGATTGGGGAAACAGACAGGTGAACACAGGGAGTAACGGCTGACTGGAGCAAAAACTCTCCAGTGGAAACCCCCATGGGAACCAATACAGGGGTGGGAAAACCTGAACTGTAACTCATGAATTGCTGGAAGTTCAGTGTGACAATGCTGAGAGTTAAAATTTCCAGGGGGACCCAGTCATAGGTGGGCCCAATAC